TTTTTTTTTTTCCACTCCTTCTCTTGGAAAACAAAAAAATCATTGATTACTCTCCATTACTGGTTCACCCATCTAGCCTCACATCAGCTTCATGGTCCCCATAGAATAATGATAACCTGTCTGAACTCAATGTTCAGCATATTCCCACCTGGTCATAATCTCCCCATCCCAGTGATTCTGACACCTTGGGTAAAATTGTTCAAATGTCAATGTCAACTGGCTTTTAATTCAAACTTCCCCCTTTCTCACTCCTACCTTCTTTCACTTATACTGATACCTGGCTAAATTCTGATCACAGTACAAACCTGGCCACCCTCTCCAGAACTGGTTACACTTTAATTCATAAACCCCATCCCACCCCACCCCACCCCTACTCATTTGGTCACATAGGGAGAAATGGAATATTCCTTGCTTCCCATTGTCCCTAGTAGGCTCTCCCTCTGCCACTAACAGTGCTTTAAGTTTTAAAAAGTTCTTTACTTATATTTTATTTGCTCTTTACAACAACCCTGTGAAGTAGGTGGTATTATTAAATAGTAAGTACTTAATAAATGCATGTTGATTGACTGACTGATTAAGATAAAAGGTATAGTTCTCAACCAATGCTTCTATGTCAAATATTTCTGACTGGTTTCGTCATTCAAAAGTCCCATTTTGCTATAGTGTTCATCAAGAGTAGAGTCCTATGAGGAATGTGGTATCTGAATACCATTTGAAAGGGAAAATGGCCTTACCTTTTGCAGGATTTGTAGCCACTCTCTAAAGAGTGGTCAAAATAATAACTATTACTGCAGGTCTGCACACACTTCCCATCTTCCATGAAGTAACCCTCACTGCAGGTAATGCATGTATCAGCTCCTGCCCCTTAAAATTAAGAGAAATAGGGAAGCCATCATTAAGACAGTTTCATCAAAGGTTCCAGAACAGAAACCTCTTCCAAATGGTTAGTAAAAATAACCGAAGACAATCCAAGATCTGTCACAGCATTTTGGAGAAATGTATGCTTTGCTAAATAACCTAGGCAGAGATATTTACAATTCTCAGTGACACGTTGGAGATCAGTATTACTATTGGGTTTTTTTTTTTTAACTGGAATTGAGAACATTTCCTACTTAGGACAAGAACCACAACCAATATTCATCCCTCAACCAAAACACACATCTGCTAGAAAAGTGAAGAAGACCTACATGAAATTGTTAACTCCCTATAGAAATTCAGGGAGGTTGTGGCTTTAGGACTCCCAGTAAGAAAGTCAAAGTTGAAGAATCTATGAATCTAAAGCACTTATCTTTGATTAATCTTTTCTTTCTTTGTTTTGGAGGCAGTTGGGGTTAAGGGATTTTTGCCCAGGGTCACACAGCTAGCAAGTGTCAAGTGTTTGGTCTGAGGCCGGATTTGAACTCAGGTCCTCCTGACTTCAGGGCCGGTGCTCTATCCACTGCGCCACCTAGCTGCCCCAATTGTTTAGTTTTTCAAGACGATTTCCCATATTGTACCTGGAAAAGTGTTGTATAAAACCAAAGATGTGCCACAGCCAGAATGACCAAATCCACTCTCTTGGGAGGCACCTACCTGAACAGGTGGCACAGAAACGGTGGCATGGCTCACAGTCCTTTCCACTGTAGTATTTTCCATCTTCACAGGTGACAGTACATCTGGATCCATGTAGGCTAGTGCAGAAATTAGAAGTGTCATTGTAAGACCACCAGGAGTAAGGCAAAGACAGTAAGGTAAAAGACAGAAAATTTCCAGGAGATAGAAAGGTTGAATACACAATATTTGAAATTGCAGTTTATTCAAAGACTGGTGCCTCTAAGTGCAGGGTTGAAGGAGATCATTCTAAATAGCAATACTACTGAAAAAGATCTTGGGGTTTTAGAGGACTGTAAGCAAATGTGGTTTTAGATTGCAATAACAAAGCAATAATATCAAGGCCCCTAGAAATAACGGTCCCATTGGTCTGTACTCTGGTCAAACAATATCCACCATATTATGTTCATTAATAAGCACATCTTAGAAAGGATTTTGATAAGCTGGAGAGAAAGGGGCAGACAAGATGGTGAATGGCCTTGGGATCATATCATGACAGGGTCATTTGAATAAATGGGGATAATTAGTTTGGAGAAAAGATGTGTTGAGTGGGGCCCTAGTAGCTATCTCAAGAGAGATTAAACTTGTTCTGCTCAAGCCCAGAGAATGGAGTTAGTAGTAATTGGTTAAGATTGCAGAACCAGTGCTTGACTTGATAGAGGGAAAACTTTCTTAACAATTAGAGGTGGAAGGGGAGGTAATGATCTCCAACCTACCCTAACTCCTTCTCAAATAGAAGTATATTATAGAGAGGAGGATTCTTACCCAGGTTTAGGCTATACTAGGTTGCCTCAATCAACTCTGAGCATTTTAGGATTCAGAATAATCAGAGCAGAAGGCACAGAACTAGCTGCTGGGGAGGAGGTGTGGTATCTTAGACTTGGAGTCAGAATAACTGAATACTGTTTCCAACACTTGCTTTGTGATCTGAAGCACTGAGAAAATCCTTATCTCTTAAATAGGTCTTGAGATTTTTAGAGACCTATAAGCTACTATGATTTTAGGGTTTCATGAAGAGGAAAAGGCCTCAGGAAGTGATAGTCCCACTGTAATCTATCTTGGTCAGGAGATGTCTGGAGTGCTGTAGGCTATACCTGCACTATAGATCCTCAGAGGGTAGGTAAAGAAAGTGCTTTATAAACCATTAGATGCTAATGAAACGAGAACTATTACTGGTTCATACTTTGTTGTTGTTGTTTAGTCATTTTTAAGTTGTGTCTGACTCTTCATGACCCCATTTCTTAGCAGAGATACTGGAGTAGTTTGGCATTTCCTTCTCCAGCTCATTTTACAGATGAGGAAACTAAGGCAAACAGGGTTAAATGACTTGTCCAGGGTCACACAGCTAGTATGTACTAGATTTGAACTCAGGAAGATTAGTATTCCTGATGCCAAGCCTGGCACTCTATCCACTGCAACACCTAGCTACCCTGCTGGCTCACACTAGCTATTATTAATTTATTTCAGAGCTGGCAAGAACCACTTTGCTTTGAATTGTATAGATGGTCAGTGGGAGAGCCAGTAGACTGTAGAAGGTAGAGTGGTGTACTGGAAAGACTGCAGAATTTGGAGTCAGAGGGTGCACAATAATTTACTACCTTTGTGACTCAGTTTCATCATTTGTAAATGAGGGGGTTGGACTGGATAATCTCTAAGGTCCCTTCCAGCTAAACATCTACCATCCTGTGTAGACTGTTTAAGGACAGAGGTTGTATCATCTGTAATATTTTCATACTCCCATTACCCAGCCAAGTGCTTTGTATACAGTAGGTGCTTAAGAAATAGTGCTTGATAGGAACTCTTTTTGGTGCAGGGCTGGCCTTCAATTGTTATGCAACAGGGCCAAAAGCAAGCCCCACTGTGATCCCAGAGGCTTCAGGAATACCACAACTGCTACTAAATAATACTTTATACTTGTATGTTGTGACACAAGGTGCTTTCTGTATTATTTATCTCTTTATTTTCCCCTAAACTATCTTGTGAAATAGATAAAATTCAATTCAACTCATTTCAATAAACATTTGTTAAGGCTATGTTGCGCTAGATACAGTGCTGAACTAATGCAATAGAAAGATGCTTTTTTTAAAGCCTGAAACAATTCCTGCCTTCCAACTCCTACTATAATTGAAAGGAGGTCTTGGAATATAATATTTCAAAAGGCAGAAGAGAAAGGTTTACAAAGAAGTCTACCTTACCCTGAAAAGCTGAGTATAATCCTACAGGTAGAAAAAAGGAGCTTTAATAGAAGGGGGAAGAGAGAGGGAATAAGCACTGATACAGTGCCTACTATGTGCCAGGCATAGAGTTAGGGACTTTACAGATAAAATCTGATCTCACTTATTGGAATAGAAGATTTGCAAACATTTCTGATGAAAAGACCGAAGATGAGCAGGAACTTGAAACACAAAACAAGGTAAATTTATCTCAGCAATTGGAAGAAGGTGTATAATGATGTAGTGCTAACATTCTATCTTTCTTTTCTCTTTTTTTTTAGTGAGGCAATTGGGGTTAAGTGACTTGCCCAGAGTCACACAGCTAGGAAGTATTATGTGTCTGAGGCTGGATTTGAACTCAGGTCTTCCTGATTCTAGGGCCGGGGTGCTCTATCAACTGCACCACCTAGCTGCCCTCTAGTGCTAACATTCTAACAGGCAGAGAAGAAATAAATGTCCTTTCAGAACCTCAATGTCTTCAAAGGGTATTGTTGAGGGAGTTAAATTAGAAAAACATTGGTCCTGGGGATAGATGGTTCTGTTCTGAAGAGCTGAAGGAAAGGAAAAGAAAAGAAAAAGGAAGAAGAAGGGGGTGGAGCTTGCTATTTCTCATAATTCTGATATGTGAGAATAGTATACAAACATAAAAGAAGGTGTATGGGGAGGAGGTATCCAATGAAACTCACTCTTATCTGATACAGACAAAGGAGGAATGCACATATATATATATACACCCACAGCATGGTGTATAAATACATTAAACTCAACATGGAAAGAAGTAGGGGTAAAAATCAGATGAGAGTGGGACCAGTTAAGAGGGAAGATAATATAGGAGAAATCTTTATAAGCAAAACAGACTTCCTGATCTGGAAGGAAGGATTAAAATGGGGAAAGATTGAGGGGAAAAAACAGAACTTAGTATAAAGAGGTGCCCTAGATTGCTTTTTTAAGCAATTGAGGAATAACTGAAAAATTTATCATATATAAAAGTAATGGAATATTATTACAAGAAATAGTGGAAAGAGACAATTTTAGAGAATCCTTGGTAGTATGAACTGACACAGAGTGAAGTAATTAAAACCAGAGGAAAATGTATACAAAGACAACAATAGTATAAAGAAAAGCAACTTTGAAAGATTTAAGGATTCTGATGAATGCAATGATCAACCTTTACATTACAGAGAACCTGTAATGAAGCATATTACCCACCTCCTAACAGAGAGGAGAGGGAAATGAGTGAAAATACATACATTTGCGGACATAGACACTCTAGTGATTTGTTTTGCTTGACTATGTTTATTCGTTACATTCCCCCCCTCCCCTTTCTCTCAATTTTTAATGTAGAGTAATGTAGTGGGAAACAATGGTGATGCCAAAAAAAGAGGGCCATTGAAACATTTAAAAAAAACCATATTGAAGAGAACAGAAAGAAGTTCAGAAAGAAATACAGATAAGCAGGTCAGGTTTGAAAATAATTCATAAACTTTTTATAAACTTTAAAAAATGGTATAAAACAGAGATCCACAGTTTCCTATAAAATCCTCTTTTTGTGTTCTGATGTTTGTGCGTAAATGGTTTGTGTGTGTGTGTGGTTCACAATTTTTAAAAAGATCACTAAATTGTTGAAAACTAAAAATTAATTAATTAAAAAAGAGGAAAAAGAAAGAATCACTAAAAACATATGCATCAATCCCTACCTTCAAGGAGATTACATTCAATTGGGAGGAAAATAGCACATGCGGATAAAAATTTGAAGTAATTTCAAAGGGAAGCACTAACACTCAGGAGAAACTTGCGGAAACTGATTCTGGTGCTGTGCCTCCTTTCACAAATTAAAAAACCGAGGCTCAGACAGGTGATATGAGTTAGCTAAAGTTATATAGCTAATAAATGACATAGTTGTAAATTGAGACTTCTTTCCACTGCATCTACACAGCCTTACCTAGAAGGATGTGAAATCTTGTTCATTTCTATTTGGTCTCAGAGAATAGGGAAAAAAATCTCTCCACTCCCTTTCAAAATATCTTAAAAACAGAGGTTATATTTTATTTAATACAAATTTCTCACCCTGGTATTTGAGGCTATCCCAAGTCTGGCACCTGCCTGCTTAATTTGACTTTATTTTCAGCTTTATTTAACTTTTTTTCACTTTTTAAATATCTCCATTCTACTTCCCTTCTGGCTCACTCTCTTGTCTGCTCTACCTCCACACTGGCTGCCTTGCCCCTTCAAAATAGGTACCCTCACTCCTCCTTTTCCAGCTACCCTCTATGTGTTGTCTTCTTCTATTAGAATGAGAGTAATGACAGTCTTGTTTCTGTATCCCCAGTGCTTACCACAGTGCCTGGCATATAGTATTTAATAAATGTTTGCTGGTTTTTCTCTTTTTCCCTTTCTCCTTTCTTCTTCTCTTTCTTTCTCTTCCTCCTGTTCTCCCTGTCTGTCTGTCTCTGCCTGTCTATCTGTCTCTCTCTCTCTCTCTCCCATTCATCATTTTAGTTCCTAATTTCATACCACACTAGGTATCCCATATCCCAAACAAGGATCCCTTCTCATCTCCACCTTTCAGAAAAAATATCTTTGTCTCCTTTCAAGGCTTGGTTCAGATGACATCTCACTTGCAAAGCCTTCCCTAAATCTTCCAGTCGAGGCTCCCCCCTCAGATTAACTTATTTTATAATTATTGTTGTATATATTGTATCCTCACAGAAAAGTTTAAAGTTCCTAGAGGATGGAGGCTATTTCATTTTTGTCTTTGTTTTCCCCGTGTCTAATGCACTTAATGAATATCTGATGAAATGATAGTAATAACTGGGTAATCTACCATCTCCTCCAGAATCAGAGCTCTGGATCTCTGCATTCAGGCAAATTGACCTACTGCTGTTTTCCACACATAACATTCCATCTCCTTGTCTCCTGGCTTCTCCATGAGTTGTTCCTGATGCTTGGAATGTACTCCCCTTTATACCACCATCTCATAGGATCCCTTTATGGCTTAACTCATGTATAATCTTCTACAGGGTGCTTTTCTTGACCCTCTTTAATTGTTAGTGGTTTCTTTTCCCTTCTCAAATTATCTACCTAGCTATTTATATATTGTATTCTACCAGTAGAAGGTAAGCTTCCTGAAAGCAAGGACTGTTTTTTATTTTGTTTTTTGTATGCTCAATGAGGCAGACACAGTGCATTGATTTAGCAGATGCTTAACAAAGACTTTTTGGATTCAGTTGGGCTGTTATTATTTAAAAAAAAAAGCTTTGGGTTCTTCCTTCAACCCTGAAATATATTGGTTATGTGCTTTGTCTAGAGTAAACGACTTTGTATAGCTCTAAGGAAGAGAGAGGACAAAATTCAATGTATCCTACTCTGGGCAGTGTTATAACCCACAATACATTCATGCAAATGAAATTAAGTATGATTAAGTATAGTGTATTGGAAAAAATACTCAAGTTGGAGTTATCTGATCTGGGTTGAAATTCTTCCTCTGCTACTTTCTGCTTGTGTAAACTCAACTTCTTTGGTCCTCAATTTCCTCATTTTTTTTTTTTTTTGGCTAGGCAATGGGGTTAAATGACTTGCCCAGGGTCACACAGCTAGTGAGTGTTAAGTGTCTGAGGCCGCATTTGAACTCAGGTCTTCCTGACTCCAGGGCCGGTGCTCTATCCACTGTGCCACCAAGCTGCTCCCAGTTTCCTCATGTTTAAAATGAAGGGTTGGATTAGATCTCTAAGGCTCCTTCCAGCTTTATGACCCTGTGGCCTGAGTTTGAATCTCAGCTTTGCTATTTACCACCTATGGGATCTCATGTAAGTTACTTCACTTCTCTAGACTTCAGTTTCCCCATCTTCAAAATGAGGGGCAGAACTAAATGATCTCTAATGTCCTTTCCAACTCTCAATCTACAATCATATGTAATGATAACAGAAGAAAAAATAGGTTACATGGATTTATTGAAACCAAAAAATGGTTTTCTAACACTGGTCCATATGGAGAACTTCTTGCTTAGACACTGTCATTAGAGAGGTGGACAGGTAATCATTCTTTGGGCAAAAATCCATATATTGAAAATATCTACCTAAAGAAAATAACTTACAAACATAGGAGGCTATCTTGACCTAAATAAAGGTACAGCCTAGGACAGAGTTTGATTTCTTCCATTTAAAAATCATGATTACTTTGTTCATTTGGAACATCTCTTATGGATTTCACTTATTTGTTTCAGCAATAGCAAAAGTCACCTACTGAAGAAAAAATATCCATTGATAGCAAAGTTATTTGTATACCATCTGATAATGGCACCAAGCATAGGGTACCTAAAAAAAGAGCAATTGATATATGAAGAAACCGTGTATATGATACCGATATACTTTGCAAATGTTTTGATTAAACATATCTTAGAATTTGTAATAAGAACTCAGTTTCAGGTGACAATTTCTACCAAGCATCTACCAGTTTATAGCAGCAGACAGTCACAGGTGGGAATCAAGAGGATTAATGCAATTTCCTGACTTCATTTTTATAGCAATCTTTGCTATACTATAGATCAGAAGAGTAAAGGGTGTCTTATAAATGTTTGTATGCCTTATTTACTGGTATTTTCCTTTTTTCAGTGTATCTTTTTATAATACAAATAAAATGACATATGTAAAGCACTCTGTAAACTTTAAAGTGCTGAATAATAATATTTATTATTAAATTCCATCCTTAGAGAAGATGGCATCTCCTTAGTCATATAAAGTAGGAGGAATAATGTAATGGCTACAGGATGCTTTAATAGCGAGGAAATATGGGTATACAGAGGGAGATTATCAAGGTGAGATTAAACAGTAAAATTATCTTTTAAAAAAGTGTACATTCATCTACGGAGTTCATTTGGGTATTTCTTACCTTAAGCCATGTCTGCATTCAGTGCAGTTCTGAGAATCAGTACATGTCCTGCAGTTTTCACTGCATTTCCGGCAAAGGTTTTTATCTGATCAAAAAATAAAATAAAATTCAGGTTAAAAATCAATTCATTGATTGGACTCAACAAAAGTGAGTGTAAATGTTCTAATACCTATTTTTGTAATATCTTCCACATCAATATAAGTAGGAAAAGGTACATAAAAGAACTGCAAAATTACTGATTTCGTTGCTACTTCTTATCTAAACACACATTTAAAAATTTTTAATAGAATTTTTGCCCCTCAAGAATTCTGATTTTGGAAAGGCAAGCTTGTTCTGCATATGTGTTAAAAGCAGCAGAAGCAGTTATCCATTAGAGGAAAACTCCTAGGAAATTCATGAATCAGGGTGGTGTTGATGATTCTAAGATGAAACATAGGTGGTTGTTATCTATCTTATATACCTGATAAAAATTATGGCCTGAAACTGGGTTCTTATCAAAAATTATAAGGTGTGTTTAATTCAAACATATTTGTGAAATATATGAGTATTATTAATTACACATGGAGGCAGATAGTATGAATACATGCTTACATTTACGTTAATATAAAAGTACTTCATGTTTACTAAGTAGTTTCCTGTAGATTACTGCAGTCCATTTTAATGTAAACAAATAATTTTCCTAACAGGATGCAGTACAGATTCCAAATTATTGATTTTCCTGGTTGTTGTTCCCTAGAAGGGGACTCTATTTATTTGTTTGTTTATGAGGTATCTACCTAGAGATATCATAGTATAGTAGAAAGAGCTTGGAGCCAAGAGTGGCCTGTTTTGAAATTAGTTGCATTAGTTGCATTGGAAATAACTGAACTTTTTTGAACCTCAGCTTCTTCATCTTTAAAATGGAGATAATCTGTAGTACTTCCTCCAGAGTTACAGTGATAATGAAAAATTGATGATTCATATTTATGAAACACTCTAAAGTTTACAAAATGCAGTCCTCTCATGAGAAAATACATGTAAAGAACACGGAAAACGTTAAAATAATATAAAAATGTCAGCTATTATTATTGGTCCTTCCTCCACTATATCGCTTCTCTAGCTCTTCCTTATGTCGTATTGTCTCTGAGTTTGCAAAGGGTATCTCAATCGATCTCAAGCTCTGACCCATTCTACCAAGCCAGAAAGATTTTCAGTAGAGGATAAATTGTGGATCTATCAGACAACTGTCACTAAGTATGAAAAGCCCCATCACCAGAAAGTTGGACACAGCAACCAATGAAGAGCTTTCTATTACAGCATGAAAGAGCTGTGATTTGCATTGCAACAAAGTTGTACCTAGGAGGCAGCTAGGTGGCTCAGTGGATACAGTATTGGGCTTGGAGTCAGGGGGACCCAAGTTCAAATATAGCCTCAGACACTAAATAGCTGTGTGCCTGGGCAAGTCACTTAACCTCTGTTTGCCTCAATGCACTGGAGAAGGAAATAGCAAAACACTCTAGTATCTTTGCCAAGAGAACTCCATGGAGAGTATGATCCATATGGTCATGAAGAGTCAGACACAACTGAACAATAAGAAGTTGTACCTATACTGAAGACATCATGTATCTTTTGGCATATTCAAGAAGTATCTACACAGACCTTATTTGAATAGGAAGATTGATAAAACCCAACTATAAATAAGAATCATAAAGTAAGAAAGTACAACAACCATGAATGTGAATATTGCAATGTTCAAATAAACTGAACTTTAAATTGTTTGAATATGTCTATCTTGTTATTTCTCATAATTTGGAAGAAGATTGGACTCATGCAACTCTGGATGCTATCACATAATGATAATGATCACATTCCCTCTATAAGGCTCTCTGTTTCCCTGAGTGAACAATAATTCTCTGTATCATTCCTTTTTTCCCCCCTCCCTACCAATCACTTGACTTTTCTATGTAAGTAGGGATTAGCAGGAATTCCACTCTATTTCTCTATTGACTGAATACTGAGGTCACTGTTGAGCCATAAGATCTAGTTCCCACTCACTCTTGGATGGAAGCAACAACGACTTTTACTACCTAGGAGGTACGAGAGATCAATGTGGTTTTTTCCATGGAAATTTTTAATAGCCTTCTGTTATTCCTTTTTTAAATTAGGCTTTCTACTTGGCCAGGAAAAGCAGAAATGTGAAATTTCAGATCAGTAGGTGTCACATTTAGATTATCTGCAAGCCTGGCTTCCACTTTAACATCTTTAGATATTTGTGCACAGATTTTCCCACATTTTCCCATCCAAATCCACAAAACACCCAAGTCCCTCAAAATCCCAACAATGGCTAAATTTTGGTTAAAATTAACCAGAATCTAGACCTCAGAAAAAAGAAATTTCCCCTCCTTAAACCCCTCCTTTAAATATAAACCCAATACTTTCTCCCTCAACCCCAAACAATAGAAATGAGCTCACTCATATCCTGGTAAAATCCATCTGGGCAGGTGGTGACACAGGAATTGGTTTCTTCATTCAGGAAGTAGCCATATTTGCAAGACAGGCATTGGTTACTATGGCTTCCAATACAAGACTCACAACTGGGGGCACATTTTCTACAGCGCTTCTTGTCTGCATGGTAGTGACCCGGGGGACAGCTTGAGACACAGATTCTGGATTGTTGGGGACACAAAATTGAAAGGTTAAAATTACCCCTGATTCTTTCCCATGTATTCTCCTAATACATGAGAGACAACTAGCCATCCATCTTGGCTTCAAAATCCAGTTTTCCGCTCTGTTCTATCATGCATCCTCTGCCCGTGTGGTCTCTAAAGCCTTCTCCATCTTGGTGTGTTCACAGAGAAGGGACCTACCCTTTATTTTACCTTCCTGTTTAGTTCTTGCCTTCAATCCATCAATCAACAAACACTTATTAAGTGCCTACTATGAAGCACCTCTAATGGGGATGCGTTAGCTGGAAGGTCAAAGGGAATTTGGGTTAACTAGGAATGGAAAAAGAAATGTTGTCATTTCAAATCCCAGCTTTGGCACTTACAAGTTGTTTGATGTCTGGCAGGTTAATCTCTCTAGGCCTATTTTCCTCATCTGGGGAAACTAATACCTGCACTGTCTCTTTCACAAAGATGTTCTGAAGATTAAATAAAACAATGCACAGAAAATGTTTTATCATAATTACATAACTATAAGTTAATTATTAATAATACATTGGACGTTATTATTGCTTTGGCAAGGAAGAGGAGAAGAGATAATGTGTTTAAATCTAGAGATCTTGATAATGTTCAAGAGATGATAGTGGATGGGGAGATGCCATGTGGAACATGGAATGAAGAATGAAGAGGAATTATAATCTTAGCCTCACTTTCCAGGTCCATAAAATAAAAGCATCTATCTTATAGGGTTGTTGTGAGGATCAAATGTGATAACATATGTGTTGTAAACCTTAAAGTACCATATAAATGATGATGATCACAATTTTCCTTTCATGCCTTTAGCAACTAAGTGGTCCAGTGGATAAAGTGCTAGGCCTGGAGTCAGGAAGATCCAAGTTCAAATCTGGCACATACTACCCTGGGCAAGTCACTTAATCTCTATTTGCTCTAATCCATTGGAGAAGGAAACATCAAACCACTCCAGCATCTTTGCCAAGAAAACCCCATGTACAGCATTGGTATGTTATGGTCCACCACACCTTGTTAGGGCCACAAAGAGCTGGACACAACAACAACAACAGTATCATGCCTTTCTTCTGAGAGGGAGGTAGTGGGGAAGCATTTTCATAATTTTTCATCTGGACAAGCTGAACCAAAGCTTATGAATTGAGCAGCATAAGCAATGAAACTTACCGTGTATTGTTTTTCAGTTTGTAGTAGTAGTGCAGGCAGTCATTGCAGTGATCTGGTCCTGGTCCATCACATCCTACTTTACTGCACTCAGGGTCACAAGGACCTTTGGGAATCCAAAGAGAAACAAAAGCAACTCAACACATTTCTAGGAAATGACTTTTTAAGGGAGTTTGTATTTCTATTGCCTTATGCAGATCCCCCAGAAATCAGTGTGATTGCTAAGTCAAGGGAAGAACCTTTGACTTTCTTGAGAACACAACTGATGCCAAAGGGCCATTCCCCTCCACCAAACAACAACAACAAAAAAGATTCAGGCCATGCATTGGCCATGAGAGTCAATGTGGTACAGCAGCTACTCTTGGAATCAGAAAGACTTGGGTTCAAGTCCTGTTTCTGACACGTTAACCTTTCGGTGCCCCAAGTAACACTCAAAGTTGGAAAGTTACAGATGAGTTACCACTATGTATCAGTAAAGAGAATTTTCATAACAGCATCATTGGATCAAAAGCACTGACATCCATAAATATTCGGGATATAAAGAACGCAGGAGAGAAGTAAAGCCGATGTTGGAACAGAAATACAGCTATTGCACAACGCTCGAGTCCTTTGAGGTTAGCGGAGCAACACAGTAAGCTTCAGTGATACTGTGTCGAACATAAAATGTTACTCTGACATTTGGCACAAACTTATTGGCATCTAGTCTTGGATTACAAAGCAGGAACTTTAGGCACAGATAATATAGTAACAATTATATCCCTGCCCACAGGCCAATGGTCAATTCAACAAAGAAAAACTACAGATAAAATTAAAAATCGGGCAGCAAGTCCAAATCACCTCAAGACTTGGGGCCTGCTCTCTATGAACCCACTAGCTGCATATTGCCTGGCAGAGAATAAAAGAGAATGTACAATGAACAGTAGCACTAGACAGGAAGATGGGAAAGGCTTCGTGTCTTTCCTATGGAAGTTGAACTACTTTCGGATTGGTGGAAAAGATTCCAAGTTTATGAACTAGTGATAGTGAAGTCCTTGTCCTCTGGCCTCTTTTACTTGCTGTTTATAATTGGGAATTTTTGGCCTCATGAGGTCTAGGTTCTTTCCTGATCTAAAATTCTATAACCCTACAATTCCTACCAGCAATACATCATACTTAGTGGAGAGGAAGCGGATATTAGCAGCTACACACCAAATAATTTACTTCAAGCAAGAGAAGGGGCTGGGGGGAGGGAGACATCTCTCTCTCTCTCCCTCTCTCTCTCTCTAGGTCTTTCTCTCTCTCTCTCTCTCTCCCTCCCTCTCTCTCTCTCTTCCTCCCTCTCTCCCTCTCTCTCTTTCCTGCCACCCAGATTCAATGTTTTTACAGAATTGCAAAACTTCTGAGTTGGAAGTAACCTCAGAGGCCTTGTAGTCCAAAACATATCCAAATAAAAATTCTTTCTACAGCACACCCACGTAGTCATCCTGCCATGCTTAAAGACACGCGCTCCTCCTATTGAACAGCATAAACAAGGACGTTTGCCTTGTATTGTTTTTCAATTTGTACTAGTAGTGAATGCAGATTATCTGTTTATAATAGAGGCTATCCGAACTGTTGGACACTTGGCCTCTCTGTAACTGCTACTTATTGTTCCTAGTCCTGCCTTCTTCCCTCAGTTCCTTCTATTGAGGCTCATATGACATAATCTTGAGGCCCATCAACAATCTAGTTGTTCTCCTTTATAAGCTTTCTAGGACATGCATATCCTTCCTGAAATGAGGTGCCCAGAAAGCAACCACTGAGTCCACAGATAATTTCTAAGGGCAGTTCTGAAATTTAGCATGAATTATATTATGAATATTTAGTCTCCCTCTTTCTCTTTTTCCCCCCTTCCTTTTCTTTTTTCTTTTTTTCTTTTCATTTTTTGTTTTGGAGGCAATCGGGATCACACTGTTAATAAGTGTCTGAGGCCGGATTTAAACTCAAGCCTTCCTGACTCTAGGGCCGGTACTCTATCCACTACACCACCTAGTTGCCTCTCAACTTGTATTTTAATTATAAGAATTTTTTTTTATTATAAGATGAGTTCTAGATCTGAAAGGAAAGTACAGTCATCCCTTCCACATCGTTGGGGGTTAAGGGTGAGGCACCCCTGTGATCTGGAAAATCTGCGTAAAAATTTTTGGCCCTCCTTTTGGAGAAGGTGTCTGAATTTTTTCTTTTACTCTTATGGGGTGTTTACAGTACCTTATTGTAAAATTTGGGTTGATATTATATAATATTAGACATATATTTTATGCATTTCTGAGTTTCTAAACTTTTTCCGAGTTGTTTGCTGGTCTTTTTATGTCATCTGTGGCTTCTGTAAAACTCCCCCAAAATTCCCATATAATTTCTTTTGCTGACCTGTGATATATTGAAACTATGATGGGGAAAGTATTGATATGGAAGGGATGACTGTAGTCATTTCTATATATTGAAGAGCCTAAATAATGTTATGCTAATTAATGACAGAGCCACCTTCCATGTGGTGCAGTGGATACAATGTCAGGCTTGGAGTCAAAAATACCTGAGTTCAAATCTGGCCTCAATAATTACTAGTTGTGTAACCCTGGGCAAATCACTTAACCCTTGTTTGCTTCAATTTCCTCATCTATAAAATGAGCAGGAGAAGGAAATGGCAAAGCACTTTGGTATTTTTGCCAAGAAAACCCCAAATGGGGTCTTGCAGAGTTAGACATGACTGAAAAACAACTGAGCAACAGCTACCTTCCTGCAATGTTGAATCTCACCATTCCAAAAGTCCCTAAGTATAAACACATACTATTCCTATTTTTGAAACAGCTTATGAGGTCTAACAAATAACATCTCTGTTCTGTGGAATTGAATTTCAGCTTAACTCTGTGTCCTATTGACTTGAAAAGCTGGTGAAGGCAGTGTGATTGAGGCAGAACCTCTGTGATCAGATTAATTGGTAAAGAGATCTAGGCAAAGTCAGGCTAAATGCCTGAAGCTTGGCTGACTTCTGAAAAAAAAATTGAAAAAAATCAGAGTTAGCATTTAAGCAGTAGGACAACTTCAGAGAAAAATGGTTTCCTGGTGGACCTAATTTTTCACGAAATGACTGAGGAAATAGGAGAAGAAAAAGCATTTCTTCATCTTTGTTATAAGAACTCTGTATGGTAAGTCATTCTAGTGCTTTTCTTGAATTGCCCGTTCTAATGTCAGAATAACCAGAGCTTAGCTTGTCCTAAGGAAGCACTCTACTTTTATGGGTTACTATGGTTCGGTAAGCTCAGTTCAAGTCCTAAGAGGGAAGGACTAGGAGCAACAGGTCAAAGCTACAAGACAGCATATTCAAGTCCAAAGGAAGGAAAAACTTCCTAATAATTAGAGCTGCGCCAAAGTGGACTAGCCGTCGGTAGTGCAGTCTCCTTCATCAGAGGTCTTCAGCCAAGGACTGGATGACCATATGATGAGGATATTGAAGAGAGAATTTTTTTTTCAGGTGTGAGTTGGACTAGATGCCCATTAAGGTTCCTTATAACTGAAATTCTGAGACACTCAAAGTCTATGACTCTTTGGTCACTTGCAATAGTCAACATAGAAATGGTTCATGAACAAGACCATAAAGGAATTTATTTTTACTTACTTAATGAACAAATTTAGTGCTCAAAACCATCCTGGAAAGAAGAGTTACCATGGAGCAGACAGAAACAGTTAACATACACTTGATGTAGTTTGTTGTCATTTTGATAAATACATGGGGGAAATAATTTCTCTTGTCTACAATAGAGATAAGAAAATGGCCCATTGGATTTCTACTGCATAGGAAAACCACATTGCCAAAACAGAGAGCTTGGATGATTTAGCCAATTAGGTCCTGATTAACTCAGTAGGCTTGGGAGCACTATAATCGAAGTTTATAAATTACTCTGAGGCAGTTCTTGTTGAAACTGGACTTGCATGAGTACCTAAGATATTAAGTTATGAGACATAGCAACAAAGGGTTTTCTTTTAATTCCTGCAGGGAAAGATGTTGTCATGAATTATAAAAATATGTGGTCTTCCCAAGGGCAATGTTAAGTGTGTAATTTAAGAACAGCTCTCCAATGTGAAAAGCTTGCTCATTATGCAACAGTTCCTTAATACATACAGATATTCAAAGGAATAGGACACATACAAATTAAACTGAATTTGGAATATACCAAGAATTCATGGATCTGGCTTAGATTTTATCCCAAAGGGTTCAATGAAGCCCATGTCAGAGGAGGTGTAGTACAGTCAATAGACTGCTTACTCTGGAATCAGAGATCCTGCGTTCATATTCTACCTTCTGAGGTTTGCTACATGTGTGACCTTGGAGAAATCACCTAGTCTCACCGGGCCTCAGTTTCCTTATTTGCAAAATGAGAAATTTGACTAGATTCCTTTCAGCCTTTGCACATCTAAGAACCTAATGCAACATGTCCTGGGTATGGTAGTGGGGTACAGGAAGATTTGCTCCATTTTGCTCTATGTGTAATTCCCCACTTACCTGCATAATCATCTGTAACATAGTCTTCTGTAGGGTCCTCCACTCGACTAGAGCGTACACGTTCCACTCTGGGAAAGTCATTTGTTGGAGAATAAGGCTGAATGGATGTTCCATAGAGGACCAAAGACCATTCTTTCAATTTGCCTTGGGAAAAACCACAAAATCAGAGAATCACCAGATGCTCACATTTTAGGGTTTTTCATCTTTCCTTCTGGCCCTTTCAAAAAAAGAAGAGAGCAACCTTGGAAAATTAGTTAGAAGTTGAGCTTCATATTTGTATGAACCATTGAATCAGGGGCTAATCCTGAAACTGTTTTCTGTGGGTGTGTGTGTATACAGGGTAAACTTTCATTATTATATCTACACTAGGTTTTTTCCCATGATGGGGGCAAGGTTTTTTACTTTCTAACAAATTCATGTACATGTACATATATTTATACGTATACATATACGTATACATTCATATATATACACAAACATGCAAATATAGTTGATTCTCCTACATATCTAGCTCCTCTTCCCTTTCATGAATTTTATCCTATCTTCATGTTATTACATATTATTCCACCTCCTCATCCTGATACCCAAACAGGAGCTTGTTAAAGGAAGAAATGTCAATAGATGTGCACAAGCTATAGAAGTTACTTGTTATAAGGGGCTCATACGCAGTGAATTTGAGTGACATTTCCAAGAGAATGAAGAATAATCTACCTGAGCTAAGAGGTGAATATTTACATTCCTTACTACTGAGGAAGCTGAAACTGGAAGATCCCTTGAATTTAGGAGTTCTCAGTTGCAGTAAGGATAAAGCTGATCAAGTGTCTGAACTAAGTCTGTCACTGATGCGGTAAGTGCCTGTGAATGGAAGGTCACCAGACTAGCAAAAGAGGGGAGCAAAACGGCCCAGGAAAATGGAACAATTAGGGATTCCATGCCAATCAATAATGGAATCAAGCGCATGAGTAGCCACTGCATTTCTGGCCTGGATAAGACAGGAAGACACATTTTTTAAAGAAGAAAAAGAAGAAAGAGGAGGAGGAAAAAGAGGAGAAGGAAGAGGAGGAGGAAGAATAGAATCTAGAAGATTTCAAATGTCTGGATACCAGATTATATGCCGTCTCAGAGCATTCCTGAATTTTATTGAGGATTTTCTTTTCATAAGGCATAAGAAATAGTCCTGAGAGAAAAATTTTCAGTGTCACCTGAATTGCTTATCACTTTCTAGGCCACCAACTGAACTTTGCCCTACTTAGTCCCTAAAGCAGATTTATCCAGTCATTACAACACACACACACACACACACACACACACCATCTCCGCCCTACCCCACCCCAAAATTAATCTAATTCTATCAGGCCTTTTCATTTTAGCAGTCAATTAGTTAGAAGAGAGTCAATGCATCACCTCCCTTTGGCAAGGTTTCAAGAAACTTTTCTTCAGAGTAGACCTCTTTCTTACTTGTTTATTCCTTTATATCTTGGCTTCATTAAAGTTATCCTTTGGTTCAAAAATAGGCTTTTGGCATCAAGTATAATTAAAAGGAATTGCCATTGGCTTTAAAGATTAATACACATAAGCTAAATAACATAAAATAGCAGGAAGATGGTAGTTGTCTTAGGCCATGATGTTGTCATGAAATGTAAGATCGGCCTATATACTATAATGTGCAAATTAAGGGACTGAAGTTGTTCCAAACTACTGCATGTAAGGAGTTTCAGGTAAGAGCTTTCCAAAGGCAATGTTTGCCCATGTGAAAACTTGGGAACCTAAAGAAAGTATATTGGCAGATCTTAATTTTTAGGAGTATCAAAGCCTGAACTTCTTAGAATGAATAGTCAGCCAGTCAATAAGCATTTATTAAATGCTCATTATGTGCCAGACATTGTGCTAAGCCCAGGGAATACAAAGAAAGGTAAAAGACAGTTCTTGCTTTCAAAAATGCCACTGCTTAATTATATTCTCTTTATTTTCCTATAGGGTGGTAGAGTAGAAAGAACACTAAACAGGGGATCTGCAGACCTAGGTTCAAATCCCACTTCCAGTACTTTACTAGCTATGTGACCACAGATATTCATACTCTCTGGATCATAGTTTCTTCAGTTCATATAATTGGATAATAGTATGGATATTATCTACCTCACTTGATTATTGAAAGTGTTTTATAGAAATGAGAGTTACTATTTTTATTGCTATTATTCTTTCACTTTACTTGTTCCTCTTTGAAATCACCTGTTACTAGATGTCCTTTTTAAAGTCTATAGCAGGGGCAGCTGGGTGGCACAATGGATAGAGCACCAGCCCTGAAGTCAGGAGGACCTGACCTCAGACCAAACACTTGACACTTACTAGTTGTGTGACCCTGGGCAAATCACTTAACCCCAATTGCCTAATAAATAAAAAAAAATAAAGAAAAATAAAGTCTATAGCATACCTAGCATTCCCCAGGGCTCTCCAGGCTTATTGTGTCACTGTTGTTACATAGTGCACAAAATTTGTATTTAAGCAATAGTCAGAATTACTGAGAGATTTCAACAAGTTGATGAATAGGTTGCTTTTGCTATTGAACGGTGGTATAAACCAGAGCAAGTTTTCTTGCTCGTTTCACCCAGTTCAGAAAAAAAACAGACAGAAAGATGGGATAATGGGGCTGTTTGTTTTCTTACCTATCAGCCACTCTCAAATCTATTTCTTCTGCTTTAGTTCACAGCGTCTCTGATAACCACCCTGTAAGTTCTTTGGTGAGCACTGCTGCATGATACATCTTGTTTCTTTCCCTTGTGCTATTGCTTAAAGATAATAGACAAAATAGGACTGGCCTGGTCCTGTCATTCAGCTCCATTTCTCTTCTTTGGGGTACTTAACGGGACATTATTTTGAGATTTGTAACCACTGCCAAGATTTCCATCAAACCACTATCATATTAGGGACTTCATTTTCCCCCCACTATGGAAGCAAATATAGCCATGGGGGTGGAGAAGGAGGCAGAAGAGTTTGTTACTGAAGAAGGGACATTCTGTTAAGCAATTGCTGTGCAAATAAGGAATGAGAAAATCTATGCAACTTGCCAGCATATAAATGTCATTTGCCCCTAGGGCAGCTTTAATGTGCAAAATGAAAATGCTTCACAAAATATATATTTTAATAACCAAATCTAAATGGGGGCCAGCAACATCTCTATTCTGGACTGATTCCACTATTTAATTTGGCCTGGAAGAACTCTATATCCCCAACCAAGCCCCCAATAAAGACTTCCTACTTCTTGAAGGTAGAAATCTATCACACTCCAAAGAAGTAACTGTAGAAATGTAGTAGGTGCTTTTTTTTCCTCTTAAAAAATCACTTTCCATAGAGAAGTATGATTTACCCCTAAATATAATAAGATTTAGGGATTATTACACATTGACTATTACTAGCCATATGTTAATACTTTCTTGGCAAGGAAAAAAAAAGCAAAAAAGAAAACCATATCTGATATGAGAAATGTTTGGGGTTAACTGGGAATAGGGTTGACCTTGACCTTTACCTTTGTGTACCTGAAGTCAACAATTTCATTTATATAGTGCTTTAAAAAACTTATTTCACAAAGCACTTTCCTCGTAATAATCTATTAGGTTAGCACCTAGCAAAGTGCCTGGTATAGAGTAAGCACTTCATAAAAAACCTGCTGTTTGATTGAGGTAGATTTTGCCAATATCATTAGTTCTGTTTTACAGATAAGGAAATAAGTTCATCATGGTAAAGTGACTTGCAGGGTCACAAAATTAATAAGTGATCATGTCACTTTAATAAAATCTTCAATCTGACAACCAAAGAACATTTATGTTTTTTAGGCAATTGGGGTTAAGTGGCTTGCCCAGGGTCACACAGCTAGTAAGTGTCAAGTGTTTGATGTGAGGCTGGATTTGAACTCAGATCCTCCTGACTTCAGGGCTGGTGCTCTATCCATTGTACCACCTAGCTACCCTTACCAAAGAACATTTATTAAGTGTCTATTATGTGTAAGGCATTGGTGATTCAAAGAGCTTATCTTCTACTGTGGTAGGCATAGTGGTGACAATGAGGAATGCACCATATAATATGTAAATTTACATATGATAATCTGAGTGCCGGGAGAGCAGTAAGTCAACAAGTATTTATTAAAAATGTACCACGTGTCAGATGCTGAGGATGCAAAGGAAAGCCAAAACACATTCCCTGCCCTCAAGGAGTTTACAGTCTAATGGAGGAAACAACATGTAGCAGCTAGGTGACTAGAGTTTTATCAGGTATCCATCCCATGAGGTGGATAGAGTTCTGTATAGTAACAACTCAGAGGAATAGCAAAGGCTTGTCATAGGAGGTGCTACAGGAATATCAGAGTCTACTCAATAAAGTATATAAAGCTGTGACTTTAATCTTCAAGGATCTCTACAGTGTGACTCTCACCTCTTTGTCTAGCCTTATTTCAGAATCTTCCCCTTCATATATATTCTACCCTCTCCTGTTTGCATTTACTCGCCTCATTCCTCATGCCACAAATGGAATGTTCTTCCTTTCCTCCCTCATCCCCCAACCCATCCATGACTGTTGTAATTGAATTGAATTGTAGTGAATCAGAATCAGGAACTTGAATTCAGGTCTTTTGATTCAGCTCTAGTCCTCTTTCCATTACAACATACTATGTGCAGGCAGAACTATAAGGCTAGTAGTTTTTTATTTCTCATGCGACAGGAGGGAAAGATGTTGTGATTCATGTGCCAAATGTAAGAGATTTCCTTGAGGGAAAGGATGAGATCTTGGATATTGAGAGGTAATGCGGCAGAGCTGATAGAGGACTAGACTTTGAGGCAGGAAAACTTGTGTTCACATTCCACCTCTGACATCTACTAGCCATGTGATGATGGGCAAGGCACGACCTTTTTATCTGAGCATCTGTTTCTTCATCTATAAAATGGGGCTGATAATATCTATTACAGTGTCTACTTCACAGTATTGCTGAGTAGTTCAAATGAGGTGTACTATAATGGGCTTGCAAAACTTTAAGCAACATATATATGTCAGTTATTATTATTATTATTATTATCATTGTTATTACTTTGTTGAATTTTGCACCATTACAATGGTAGGCATATAATAGGTTTTCAATGCATATTGCCTGACAATTGCCACTTAGGCTAGGGACCCTTTTCTTATTTATCTAAGCATCAGCCAACACCTAAACATCTATTAGTCATGTAAGGAAGGCGTAGAGGTACAATGGGAAGGATATTTGATTCAGAGTCACAGAACCTCAGTTCAAATCTCATGTTTCACCTTTACCACCTGTGAGATATTAGCCAGTCGCCTTAACCTCATTGAGTCTTAATTCTTCATCTATAAAGTGAGTGTTGGAATCGATTAACTTCTTAAGGTCCTTCTATTCTCCAAACCAGTAATTCTAAAGGTCACCACTATGTTCTGTGTAGGAGTCTTTCCCCCCACAAAACTTCACGTAGCTGATTCTACTCACACTTCAAAACATGGAAGATTTGAGATCATTTGTGATGTGTGATTCTTTGAAGGATCATAATTGGATAATGGCAACATGGATTGACTCAAAGTTGGTTCTTCCCTGGATGACCAGATGGAGCATTGATGAGATAATTGCAACTTAAGATATTTGTGATATGATTATAGAATGGCTGTAAAAACCATGATGGTGGGTGAATGGAGCACAGGTATGTGTACTACCCTGTGGGACATGACCAGGATTGGCTTTTTAGAAAATATGCCAAACCTTCTGCCCCATGTTGAAGTTATGTCAGGACTTATTTTATTCTACAAATTAATGTTACATGTTAGTGTGAAGAAGGCAGTTTGTTCACTATGACCAGAGTGGCTTGAATCCTCCTGAAAAGGCCTTTGTTCACATGGTCATTTCCATGCTACGTGTGTCCAAAAGGTTTTCAGGTTTATGTCACTCACAAAAGAGTAGAATGTCATCATTCACGCTGTCCCCTGTGAACTCATTCAGCTGGTATAGGACAAATCCAACACCCTGCTTAAGTTCACAAATTTAATTTAGAAGAAACTCAGGGTGGAGACACCTATATAATTCATTTCCTTCTATCAATCACGTAAAGAAGTGAAGATCAGACCATTTAGTTTCTCTGTCTTTTCCCTATGAAACATAAGGCATGTTTTGTTAGGGCAAACAAGGCAGTGGCTCATGGTCTGCCGTTGTTCTGTTCTCATTGCTACTGACTTTCTTGAGCTGTGAGTTCCTAGTGGTCAGGGACTACATTTGCCTAACACATAGCCCAGTCCAGTGTGAATGGTAAATATTTTGTACCCTACATTATTTTTGATGATGGTAAGATAAAAATCAAGGTGATGGCTGTTTGTTACAGGTAAAAATACTATTCCATCTTCTTCCAATTCAGAAAATAAGGTTAGCAGGAAATTAATGAAGACTGGCTCCTACCTGGGGTCTTGAAGTTCCTCAGCTGAGATGGCGTATCATAAACTTCCAGCACCCAGTCACCTGCTGCTTTTTCTCCCCAGCAATGAATAGTCATAAACTCCCAGTTTTTGAATCCTTCCATAGAATGATCAAATAGCCTGGAACAGAATCACCAAACATTGCTTTGTGTATGAGTTTAAAAAATCAATGAAGTACACCGTCAGTAATACTTCCTCTACCTATAATCGTCAGCACACACGTAGAGACTTCCTTCATTTAAGAAAGGACATCATCTCACAAATGATGCTATCATTGGAGCATAAGGGTTAATCCTCATGACATCGGTAAAGGGGCTTAGAGCTAATAGTTCATGGGAAGCTTGCCAGGTCAACATCAAGGAAAAATCAATGCAGTATTAGGATGACGAATGAATATAGATGAATGGTGGGCAGGCATGGTCAAGTATCTACCTACCAATCTTCTCCCTTCTCAAAAATGAAAGCTCTCAGTATCATAGATGAGGAAAACTTCATTCTGTCAATGGTATGCTGGAGGCTGATAAGAAAGGTATCCATATTTGAGTGGAAAGGGCATTTAATTTGGAGTCAGATTACTTAAGATTATCTATCTCAGATACTCACTACCTGGGTGACATTGGACAAGTCATTTAACCTCTCTATGCCTCTGTTTCCTTAAGAGTAAAATGAGAGAATTAAACTAGCTAGCATTTAAGGTCCCATTCAGATCTGAAGTTATGTTCCTATATGACTTAAGATTTATGATCCTATGAAGAAAGAACTATCCAAGTAAGACTATCCAGGATCCTGAAGAAACAATTGTTGGCAGTGTTTCTGTTATTTAAAGTCATAGTTTCCAGAGAAGAGCAATAAAACAGGAAAATAAGTCTTGGTTATTTGTCTATGCGACTTTGAAAGAAAGAGAAAAGGAAGCAATAGGATGAATTAATTTGCAATTTAACAAACATTTATTAAGCAGTATATATATACCAGATACTTTGGATACAGAAACAAATATAACACAGTTGTGCCTTCAAGAAATTTTCATTTAAGTAGAAAGACTAGATTCTACTGGATAAAGACTTCTTCATTGGATAGTGTATCCTGTTTCAGTGAAGACTATATGGATCAGAACACTTTGTGTTCTGTCCATAGGGGCTAAATCCTGGGGGTATGCTGGTAAATGTTTAACAAGACTATATGGTTTAAAATACTTTGTGTTCTGTCCATGGGGGCTAAATCCTGGGATTATGCTGGTAAATGTTTAACAACAAGCTCTCTGAAAATAAAATTACATATGATACATTTTAAAATTTAATCTGCATTATTAACATTGTCTTCATTACTTTCTTAAGTCTAGAAAATTAAAAATAATAGTAAATCAAACCTTGATTTGTAGCATTTCTCAGTTTCCAAGGTACAAATGCTCATCCTGAAAATTTAACAATTGGCTCTTAGAGCTGGCTCTAGCACATCACTGGAACTATACCCTACCCACATATTCATGTTTTCTACCTGAGTTAATTCTCTGCAAATAAAAAATACATTTTACTTACAAATAATTTAAATGAATTTTTCCTAGATGAGGGGGAAGGATCTTATCTCCCCCCAAAACAATTTTATTTTTAAAATTAAAAAATTAAGGTTATAACATTAAAAGGGATTTCTTTGATACATAGCATAAAATTACTATGACTTAAAGAGAAAAACTCGGTAAGGCTGATGATGGAGTAGAGGGTTAAGGATAAGCAAAGCTTTGGAGTATCATGCCTCAAGGACTAACTTGAAGTAATGTCCAAATTTTGATAGCACATTTGGAGAGTAATTGGCAGATGGTGACTTGATTTTCTTAATTGTATTATGGTAATTGAATTATAGAGGGCTGGAATGAAGAAGTAGAAACTTGGGTCTAAATTAGGATTCTGAATGAGGGGGTTTACTTTATTAAGTTCCTGAAATCCAACACTGACCTAGGGGAATTGACTTTGGAGTTTACTGCCTTGAAGTGAAATTGACTAACAAGAATCTGACAGGGTGGGAAAGAGTATACACTTCATTCTAGAAGTCGCCCCACATCGAGTTAGATTTTCTTTGTGCCTGAACTATTTCATGGTTGTAACTCAGACACCTTTGCAGACTTCCATCCAACCACTCCTTCAGGTCATAGAGAAGTCACTCAATGCATCGAAGCAATAACTTACTGAATGCAACCTTTCCAAGTGTCTAATGTACACTCTGGGAGCAGCTGAGGTAATGGGAAAGTTTGGCTTAGCGCCTCTTACCTCAAAACTACAAAGGAGACTCCTCGAGGCAGCCATCACATGCTGGCCACACTTCTATTTTTGTAACTACAGCCAAATCTTGATTATTCAGGGGTCAGTTGTCCAATCTGTAGTTAAACTGACCCCATATTTCTCCTCTTTCAAATTTTTCCTTCCCATCTGCCTGCCTTCATCTTAGTCTTACTACTCTCAAGCAACTGCAAGAATTTATACTGGAGGCCTGACACATCTAAATTCAACCTATGGGATGGGAAGAGAGAAAAACAAAGACATTTTTAGAATTCTAACAAGCGCCTCAGACTTCCGAATGCAAACAGACTTTGTCTACCAGGTCAGGAAGCAACGAATTATATAACCCTCGTCATTTTGGCAGCCAGAGTCTGTGGATATAAAGTAGGGGAAGTAAATCTCAGAGTGTCAATATTGCTATGTATTCAAAGGTTTGATGGTGAAAAAGGTTGACGTTAATTTCTTTGGTTATCTGAGAATTTAAATAGACCTCTGAAGTTCACCCTTTCTCCCAAAACATAGGCAACATTTTATTGTAATTTAGATTCAGGATTATGATCTACTTCCTCCTTATGAAATAATGCACCAGAGGCACTGTAGATAGCTAGATGTAACTAGTAGGAAATGGAAACCAGGATTCTAGAATGTTGTTTTTTGAAATTCAGAAAAAAAAAAAACCAAACATAGGAAGAAGAGAATTGATGAAATGTCCCTCATGTTAACTATTCCAGGACCAAAATTTTAAGTTCAAACAAACAAAAATAATTTATGCAATCAAATGCCAAAATCTTTCAACATATTCCCAGATTTTAACTATAGATTTATCACTCATTTGCTAAATTTTAAAAAAAGAGTGGTCTTCAGTTCTGAGTTTCTGTAGTGTACCAAGCAAGCTATGTAGCAGTGTTAGAAGACTGCAAGGATTGGGGGGTGGGGCCAGTGGAGGGTTAGGGTTTCAACAGTAAACATAAGCAAGAGAGGAAGTAGACAGAGAGATGGCCTCAGAGCCAGAAAGACTAGGGTATAAGTCCTGCCTCTAACATTTATTTACTGGTTGTGTGGCCCTGGGCAAGTCCCTTAACCTGTCAGTGACAGTGGTATTAAAATAAATAGAAATAGAGGCCACTAATCTGTTCATAAGGATCCCTGTGGGTCACATATTGACTTAATTTGAAAATATAATGTTATCTATACTGTATTTTTATTACATTAAATATTTCCCAATTACAATTTAATCTGCTTTGAGCTGTACTCAGGAGTGTTAGGTGTTCGACACTTCTGCTCTAGGTAATTCTTTAAGATGATAAATTGCAGAGAAAGTGTCAACTTTAATTGGGAAAAGGCTTCCTCCTCTGGGAGTTCCCTATGCTAATGAAATTACAGGTCTAATCCCCTCCCTTCTCACCTCCCACCCCCAAAGAGTAGACAAAATTATCTCTATTTGTAGATAACATTACCCAAATTACCTTACAGGGCTATGCCAATCAAATGGACATTTTGTATAATTAGGCAAAATAATAACAAAATTCATTTGGAGGAATTAAAGGTCAAGTATATCAAGTGAATATTGAAAAAGGAGGAAAGTGAAGGTAGTAACTGTCAAAACTATCTGGTACTGGATAAAAAAAAAATAAAACAATAGATTAGAGGAGCAAGACCTCTAAACACATGTGCGGGCATGGTGCTTTCTTAAACCAAAGAGTACAAACTATTGAGGAACAGCCTCTGACAAAAAAATGCAGGGGAAGTTGGAAAGCAATATGAAGAAAAATATTTCTAGATTATTATCTCACATAGTATACAATGATACATCCCAAAAATAGATTAATTATTCAAATACAAAAGTTATATCATAAAAATTAGAGAAGGTTGTTATATTTCTTACAATTATGAATGGGGGAAAATTTGTACTTGGGCATGGGATAGAAGAGACCTTAAAATGAAATAAATATTATCAATTACATAAAATATAAAAGCTTTTGCAGAAATGAAATTAATCCAGCCAGCACCAGAAGAAAAGGCACATCTTAGGTGGGAAAAATTTTTTCATTAATATCTGGTAAAAATGTGCCATCCAAAATCTATAGAAAGTTGACATAAATATACAAAATCAACAGCCATTCCCCAATGGGCTGAAGGTCAAAGGGCATGAAAAATAGCTTTGAAAAGAAATAAAAGTCATAACCACCTGAAAAAAATTCAAAATCACTAATAATCAGACAAATGCAAATTAAAACAACACTGTGACAACAAGCCAGCAAAAGATCATAAAAGATACTAAGATACCCCCCCCCCAAAGTATCCAGTATCGGATATTTGTCCCCTAACTATCTGATACTTCCTTCTCAGTTTCCTTTGCTGCATTTTCAACTATTTCTTGCCCTCTTTGCTTGTTTTTAAACCTGGGTGCATCCATCCATCCATCCATCCATCCATCCATCCGTCCATCTATCCATCTTTTCTCCTGGTGATCACATCAGTTTCCATGGCTTCAATTAACAACTATGCAGATGACTCCTAGATTTATATATCCAACTCTGATTTCTCTTATGACCTGTAATTGTGTATCACCAGCTTCTTCCACTTGGATGTCCCACAGACATCTCATACTCAACATGTTTGAAACAGAACTCTTTCTCCATTCACCCATTTCTTTTCCTAAGTTCCCTATTTCTACCAAAGGCACCACCTTTTCTTTTTTCCCTACTAACTCAGGTCTCCAGTCTTGGAGTCGTATTCATATCTTCATTTTCCTTCATCCCTCATATACAATCAGCTGTTAAGTCCCATTGACTCTGCCTCTACAATATTTTTCATATGCAGCCCCTTTTCTCTATTCATGCAGGCACT